GGAGAGCGGCGGGAGGGGAGAACGGGCTGCTGGTGTTAAGCCACGACCTGTGGGCCGAGGAACTCAACCAGCTGGCGGCACGCGTGGATTTCTGCCCCGTCCTTCAGGTCTTCTTCCCTTTCAGCATCCAGCTCTACCCCAACGAATTCCCCGGACACGACCCTCGCGACTGTCCCCGCGACGTGGGCAAAGCGGCGGCTCTACGGCTGCATCAACGCCGAGTATCCCGATTCCTTCGGGCATTACCGCGAAGCTCGCTTCTCCCAGACCAAGCATCACTGGTGGTGGAAGCTGCATTTCGTCTGGGAGCGGGTGCGGGCGCTGCGGGAACACACCGGGCCTGTCCTCTTCTTGGAGGAGGATCATTATTTGGCACCTGATTTCTACCACGTCCTCAAAAAGCTCTGGGCCCTGCGGGAGCGGGAGTGCCCTGAGTGCCAGATCGTCTCCTTGGGCACCTACAGCCCCGTCCGTGGCGCCTTCGCTGGCCGCGCTGATAAGGTGGAGATGAAGACGTGGAAGTCCACCGAGCACAACATGGGCATGGCCTTCGGTAGAGACACCTACCAGAAGCTCATCGAGTGCACGGATGCCTTCTGCACCTACGATGATTACAACTGGGACTGGACTCTGCAGCATTTGACTGTCTCTTGTCTTCCAAAGTTCTGGAAAGTGCTGGTTCCTGAAATCCCCAGGATTTTTCACACGGGGGACTGTGGCATGCACCACAAGAAATCCTGCAGACCGTCCACCCAGAGTGCCAAAATCGACTCCCTCTTGAACAGCAACCAACAGTACCTGTTTCCTGAAACGATGAGTGTCAGTAAAAGGTACTCCATGGCACCCCTTTCCCCTCATGTGAAAAACGGAGGGTGGGGAGATATTAGGGACCACGAACTCTGTAAAAGTTACCGCAGACTTCAGTGAGGATTGTTCTCGCAGCCTTTTTTCTTTTTGAGTTGTTCCATACTGCCTTTTACAGGCACACACGTGTATAAAAAAGCATTTATGAGTTGGTTTCTGCTTTAATATGAATAAACATTCTTGTAAAAGGTGTCCCAAAATAGTAATCTTTCATGTTCGGCAGCCACGTTCTGGAAACGGGTTCCTTGGTCCCGCCGGGCCGCTCAGAGCAGCATCGCAGCCCCGACCGCTGTTGTGTTTACTGGGAGGAGGAGAAAACTTGAAGTGCATATTTTTCGGTGCTTACAGTGCTCTGGTGTGGGGTTTTTCCCCCGTTAGGGGCAGGTGGTGGGCCTGGGGTGCTGCACTGGGGCTGGTGAGGAGCGAGTGAGGGGACTGAATCCCCCCCCCAGAGCTCCCTCCACCAGCGGTACCGGTACCTCCCGCTGTCCCACCAGCCATCCCGCCCGGGATTGCCTCGTGCCTGATACCTGTGTCTTGGGTTTGGTTGCGATATGTTGATGAATATATGAAGGAAAAAAAATTAAATCATTGTTTTTACTATGATGTAGATAAAATATATGATTTTTTTAGTTCTGCCAAAATAAAATTCAGTTGTTTTGTAATACCAGAGAAGTTCCTTGATTCTCACTAAAAGACGATGTCATCTTGTGTCGCTAGAAAGAAAGTGAGGGCTGGGGAGGTGGGGGGGAAGCGGTCTTTTCTTTAATCCCAAGGGCTGAGCACATGCCATCATCCATTCTAGTGGTGTGCATTCAACTTCATTAAATTTTTAATGATACTCAGTAATTGAGGCAGAATAGAGTAACAAATGCGTGGCACAACACCTCTTTTGTTTGGATCAAAAAAAAAAAACGTTCACTTTCAAATTAGTCAGCTGTGTAAAGCGACCAGTAGAAAATACTGCTTTGTAATGGAAACACGCTGAACTGGAGCTGAAAGCCACGAACAGGAGAGAGCAGAGCCGTTCGTTACCATCGAATGCTTTCTCGCCTGTTTTAAAAGTCTAACGGTACGTGTGCTTTAATGGTGCCGCACTTCGAAACACAACTGGTAGCAGTAGCATGTAAGCGGCTTTTTGTAGAGCAGAGAAGTATGTTGGAGAAAGAAAATCCTGTGCTAAGGTGACAGGTGTGCAATATTTAGAGGCAGATTTTATACTGAGAGATTTGTAGAGAAAAAAAAAAGTCTTTTTTTAATTAGAGAAAATGGGGTTGGCATTCTGAGGACTCTGCACCAGTTCCGTATAAATGGGAGGGCACGCAGCGAGGCTTCCCCTGTGCCACCGTTTGTCACCTGCTGCCTGGCTTGGGAATATATCGGTTAAATGTTCATCTCGGAGAGAGCCAAGTTCTGTGAAACACTCTTAAAGTAGCATGCAGATGTTTGACTACTGTAAGATGCTCTTTTTTCCCAGGGTAATTTAACTGTCACCGTTTTGTACCTGCTACATTTTAGTAGTTTCCCAAAGTCAGGGCAGACGCTGAAGGAGCTGTGCCCGTGCCTCAGCCCTTCGGTACCTCCCCCAAGGAGCTGTGTGACTGGGACAGAGCCCAGCAAACCCCCTGCCCTGCTCCAGCTGGGTGGGTGCTGCGCTGGCACACGGGTAGGGCCGATGCTTTTGGCAGCTGTAGCTTCCGCTGAACCTACAAAAGTAAAGCTTACGCTGCAAGCACTCGCATCTAACATAGAGATGTAATTCCAGAGCAGCTGTGACCCAAGACAAATTTAACTTCCTTCTAAAGCACACTTGTGTCTTGTAGAACTCAAACCAGAAGTTATTTCAGAAGCAGTGAGAAAAGGAACTGAAAGTTTATTATAATAACGTTCTTTTGGTTATCGCACTTCGGGGAGATGAGCCAGCAAACAGCACGCTGGAGCTCGTGGGGAGCTGTTTGTGAAAACTAATCTGGATCAAGTGAATTTCACAAATTGTAAATACTTAGTAGCAGATATGCAAAAAGAGAGGATGGTTTTATTGTGCAATTGAATTTGTTCGGTTGACAGACGGGGTATGTTTGGAGGCTGTGTTCCGAAGTAACATACTAGGATGGAATACATGGTATAAATGTTGATTATTTCTAGGAGACTAATTAGAACTTCTCCGTGTAATTAGAAATTTCATCTGATTGCTGAAAATCAGTGCAAGTCTAATTCCACAGTTATCACAAAATGAAAGCTTTGAAAAATGATGAATACTGCTCATTTCTAGGTGGACTAAACACAGCAATTCCCGAGGGAGCCGTTAGAAAAAGGATATATACAAATACTCCCTGGAATGTAGCAAGAAACTGAGAAAGTTACGTCAACAATAAAGATGTATTTTCTTCCACGAGCTCAGATTCACCTTCAACTGCATCTTTCCTGTAAGAAAAACTATTTCAGCCCATACATGTGATTAGAAAAGTCAGACCTATTAACTCCAAAAATTATTAACAACATAAGTGTTCTATGGTGACATGTAAACAAAAGAGTTTCAGTAGGAACCTGTTTTCTACTCTGAGCCCTGAAGTCATAAAGCAGCAAGCGCAAGGCACAGTAAAGATCAAACAACAGAAGGTAACCTTCAAATAATTAAACTAGTCCAATTCATACAGCAAAGAATTCTGAAAAGCAACCGAGCAGTGTGTTACGTGGTCCCTAACAATCTGCACGCTCCCATCCTGCGTGTTCACTTCTTGGAGAACTGGGGAGGCCGGTCTGCTGTCCAAACCGCGCTGGTTCCCCTGTTCCGATCCTGCGGGCGCAGCCGCTCCATCCCCTTCGGCTTTCGCCTGCCCCTCCAGCAGAAGGGCTGCTTGATTTTCCGAGTCAGCCACGGCCATTTCGCCCACTATGACGGCACTTTCTAAATCTGGTTCCGTTCTCCTAGATTCGCCAGGAATCGCTGAACTGGTGTCGGAAGGTTCATGCTGCAAACAATGGTGTGAACTACAACCTCCTTTTCCTATTGTTTCAGCTGTTTCAAAAGATGGGGAAGTTTTGTTGGTTTCTGTAGCGCATTCTCCTTCAGCTGTGTCAGCTGCAGGAGGGTTTGTTTCTGCCTTTCTTTGGGGGTACTCGCCGTTTGTCTTTTCAGCAAGATCTCCTCCCGAGCTGCTAAGCGCTTGTTCTTTTCCATCGCGTTCAGAACAGACTGCTTCCTGCGGCTGTCAAGCAAATAAATGAATTGTTTTAATAGTTGAAAGGGACCGGGCACGCAAAACTGCTCTCTAAAGACAGGCTGAGACACTTATTACTCCAGCGTCTACTCCCAGAAATCCGAGTCAGCACGGGGCTGAGGTTTTCCTGATCTTGTACCGCGCGTGGGAATGAGTGGCAGGGAGGTTGTTGCTTCCCGAGGGTTTCCTCTGCAATAGGGAGTGCTGCTGGGCTGCTGCCAAGCGGCCACAGCCTCTGCTGCAATTATCCACGGGGAAGAGCCGCAACTCACCACACCCGGGCTGTTGTTTTCTAGAAATGGGGGGGGGAGCACAAAATCAGCCAAGGGATCTAAACTCTCATTGCAAGAAGTGTGTTTTAACCTTGCCACTAGGGAAATTTTCCTCCTGTCCTCTGTGGAAGGTGTAACGGGTAACGAGCTGTCTTTCTCAATCGGTGTGAGTTAATCCAGGAATTGCTGCTGTAACTCCTGTGTCCCTATGGGTGGACAGTCAGGATCGGGCAGGCATCTGCCCGGAGCAGCTGGATTCATGGATTCAAAGACTGGGTCGCTGTCTCACGCGCCCAGCCCTCTCTGACCCCAAAGCTCGCTCCAGCAAGAAACCAAAGAAACACGAGTACGTCCTTCTCAGCACTGGCTGATTCTCCTACACGAATGCGTGAGTGATTTAAGATTTCTTGTCTTCCCTTTCTCAGGTACCAAAACATCCACATTTGCTCTCCGACAACCTGAATTTTAAATTTTTATGTACAATCCACACTGGCTACAGAAGTTCAGCCTGTCAAGTACTGCTGGAGCCACTGTCTTGAGGGTAAACTCGCTGGTCTCCCAGCATAGTTCCAGAGGTCGCACACGTCACCTGAACTTGCCTTCCAGGAAGCTGCCTGCACATTAACTGTGTCTGCAGCCTCCAGTTCATGGCCACAGCAGGAACCTGATTGTCCCTGCATATTATCTTTCCATGTTTCCTTGAAGAAAAGTTTTTAATTAATTTCTGATGCAGTGCCTACCAAGAAATCCCAGTCAATTTGGGGGTTTGACCTTACATTTTCCTCTTTACAAAACAAAAGTTTTTGTTTTCTTCATCTGTCCATCTCCTGTTTTGCAAAGGGAGGTCACTTTAATCCTGTGGCAGACCTCAGGGCTCGCCTCGCACCCTTTAAATACACAGGGTGACTGAGGAAGGAGGGGAGCCTGAATGAGACCTGAAACTTTACAAGCAGTGAACTGGAGACCAGCATTGAAGATAAATAGTCCCATGTTTAATTATCTACACAACAGGAAACCACCAAGTATTCAAACACTTGGACCAAATAAAGATAATGAGACCCGATTCTTCACAGACAAAATCCTCAGGGTTTTTTCTGTCTGTCTGAGAGGGCAGAGCGAGCGAAGCAGCGGCTGGGACAGACACCCTCTGTCCATCCGAAGGAGCCCTTTCCGACTCCCGCTCCCAGCAGCCAGGTTTTTGCCTCTCCACTGCTTCCAGGTAAGTCCACTTCTGGACCAAACACCTGGGAAGGTGTCAGTGCAAAAGCCAGGATGCTTTAACCATGGGCTCGAGCACACGAACCCAAACTTTGGGGTACTGGAGGGATTATTCACTTCTTTATTCTGGTTTTGTTCTGATGACATCTGCTGTGATGTGTTTGCAGCACGTTGTCATCAGCTCTGACCTGAAAGCACTTGGGGTCCCTCTGAATGAGGGATACAAGTTATTTATATTTAGTTATATAACTATATTTAGTTATTTAGTCATTTTTTTCTTTTAATAGCAGTGAGACATTTAGTGTGTGCGTGCCATGCTGTATTCCTGCAAGGAGAAAACACTGTTTTTAACGATTGTACCACAGTGCTCCATCCTCCCAGTGAAACAGAGGAGGCTTCAACCCTTTGGTCACATTAAATGGCACAAACATAAATCTATGTTTCTAAAAACTGACACTGATACTCACACATACACCCTACTCCAGGGTC